CTCCGATGCTATTGTGATGATGGGAGACGCCTTCCTCAGGGGTTTGCTGATGATTTGGAACTTATGGATTGGCTCGATCATTATATATGTCCCGCCGAAAAACGGTAGTGACTTTTCTCTCGAGTCGGGAGCTCTTTATATTTCGGGGTTCGTAGTTGCTTTCGGGCTCATTGTGTTGTTATCCTGGAGTATTGACATTAGAGAGTAGGTTCTTGTCGAAAGATTACATAACGTTGGGCACCCAGATGGGAGTTTACGAGATGCTCAAAACGGGTAGGTCTGGCTGTTATCAGCCGCCTGGCTCGGCCCCCCTCTGGGACCCACTGGAGTTTCACCACCCTAGTGATATGAGAAGTACTAGTGAAAAACACATTTCACGACTACTGCATATCACCGCGAACAAAGTCGCGTTTTAGGCCACTTCAAGTAGGACAGGTGTAACTCCACGGTTGATTTGTGATAGACTGGTCGAGTCGGCTGCTCCTCAGGCACCATATGCTTCCTAGACATGGCCGGCTGACACCACAGCAGTCACCGTACCGGCTGCTGGCATCAGGTCGGGGGGGGGGGGGGGTGTCCTCCATATCAGCGTGTTGGTGGCTAGGTGCTTCAACGGTCCTGCTATCATAGACTTTGGGGATGGCTCTGTCGATGGGCTCATTGATCTGGCTCGCGGTATTTAGTGGAGGTAGAAGTAGCGTCTATGACGGCTGATGGTCATCAGGTCAAGCGACTCCTGGATGCCAAAGTCAATGTTTGCTTGGGGACCAACTCAGCTGTATGTTGGAGGAAATGCAGTTTGCTAGTCTAGTTGGGAAGTTGGTTAAGCTCCCATGCTGTGATTTTGTTGAGCCTTATTACAGGTAGCGGCAACAACGCGAGGAGTGTCAACTATCACACTGCACTCCGAATAGCTACTATAAACGGCGCGAAGGCCCTCGGCAAGGCTAAGGTGGGGTTACTGATGGTCGCAGGGTGGAGGAGCTTGTCCCAATTCAGGATCTGGGTTCTCTTGAGGTTGGTAAGCTCGCCGATATCGTTGCCGTGGACCTGGGCCATACAGGCAGTCTGCCGGTCTACGATCCAGTCTCAAGTCTAGTGTAAGGGGCGTTCTATCTAGTGGTGTGAGAGTCGGTTAAAACGGACATGCCCCCGGGGGCCGACACCTATGGGCTTTGATGCTGAGGGGCCCATAAATGCAATCGGTGGCTTTACTCACTAATACTGGGGCCCGGCGCCTAGAAGGAGTCTTAGATGACTAGACTAAGCTCGTGAGTTAGGTACACCAACGAGCGGAGAGTTAGTGATGTTTGGGTCGATGGAAAGAGGATTGTCGAGGCTTCCAATGTGAGCTCTCCTCCATAGCCGGAACGAACTCGCACTCTGTTGAATTGTTCCCAGTTACCGATTTTGTGAGTTGTAATGGCCATACTTGATAGGTGCTCACTATGGCCCCACCTGATCTCAACCAGATGGAGCAGTTCCGTCGGCGGCTGGTCAAGTTTAAGAAGGAGGAATGTGGCCGTCGGGTGCGCGTGCAGTCTCATAACTATCGAGATGACGAACAACGCTAGAGGACGGCTTCTCGGGATTGTCGGTTCACGTTTATTTCAAAGACCAAAAGTCATCGGCGAATTTGATATTTGATTCACATGAAGGCTGGCTTGAGGTCGCCTCGCTTTCATTCTGATCCAGTATTGCCCAGAGTTTATTCCCTGTGAGTATTCCTGTTAGTCTTTCTTGACCCTTGATGCCTCCAGGAGTGATCGTCTAATGGTACGCAGTCATCACCATCGTAGTGCATATGCTGCCAAGTTGTTCGCCGTGGAGGAGTCCAGGCGGAAGGACACGGCGGACCAACCCTTTACTGGGTGTCTCACCATGGCACTGTTACGTCATGATACTGCTGACTTCAATGGGATGCCCTTTGTGGTCTCTGCACCGGTCCTAGACCTAGATGAGGACTATGTTATCGGGTACGTCGCCTCCTTTATACACATTCATACCACTCCTTCTCCAGATGCCATGTGAAGCTGGTCAATCCTGCTACATGTTCCGTAGCCCTCCTGGGGTGGGTCTCATCAGCCTGTTGTTATCGATCTCTCGAGAAGCACCCTGCAAATGTGTCAGGAAGTATCTCACCGCTCAGCCCGCATGACATGAGTGTTGTCTATTGTTCAGATCATTACGTCCTTTCGGTTTCGAATCGTCTTGCGGAAAGCGTTGGCCTCTCGAGGGACGTGAAAGAGGTCTTTGTAAGCAACTCGTAATTTTCCTTGTTTTTTTTGGAAAATCCCTTTGTTTTTGGTAATTTCTCTTGTTTTCTTGGAAAATTCCTTTGTTTTTGGTAATTTCTCTTGGTTGTTTTGGTAATTTTTTTTTGTTTTTGGTAATTTCTTTCGGTTTTTAGGTAAATTTTCTTTTTTTGGTAATTTCTTTCGGGTTTTTCGGTAAATTTCCTTGTTTTTGGTAATTTCTCTTGGTTTTTTTCCTGGTAAGTTCCCTTGTTTTTGATATTTTTCCTTGTTTTTCTAGTAATTTCCTTCTCTTTGTGATTACCTGTGTTTTCTCGGTATCTTTCGTAGTTTTCTTGGTGATTTTTCCTTCCCATTCAGCTTGAAAAGTTGTCTCAAAACGAGCACTCCCGTACGAACTCCTGGCCTACATTAGAGTCAGTCGAGATCATCATCCGGAGTCGATTCCTAAGCAAGAGGGATGTGTGGAGGTTCCAACTGAAGTTGTTGGGCGCGGTCGTCTACAACAACATGCCGCCGCCGTTCTCGGACTCCCTCTACTGTGCAGAGGTTGTGGGCATGACGTCCAACCCGGCACCCGTCAGCCCGTCCAAGCTGCGCCGGAGGATCGCTGGTGAGCACTCTTTTTGTTTTCTTCATTCTGCTAAGTTCTTATTGGTGATTGTTTTTCCGAATAGTATGTTCTTGAGAATCATCCTTGTAATTTTTCTCCTGTATTGATCATTTGGTGGTATGTTCATTGATTTTGCAAAGATGTTTATTCGAACGGTGATTATCGTAGAATTCACATGGGAAACAGTGAGAAGGCTGTCGCCGTTCCCGTTCCGGTTTGAGGAGTGGGTATTAGACCTCGGCAATGTCGTCGAGATCGTTCATTCTCGAAGGGAGGCTGTCGGAGATCATTGGTTTCGCATTTAGGCCCAACTTCAACTCATTTGCTGAGATCATGTGGGATAGTCGGCAGCCAGACGAAAGTTGTCTTCCGGACAATGAGCTCCCACTTGAACATTTACATACACTTGTCGTGGGAGATGTGGTGCTTCGCCCAGGATGGCCAACCCCACTTCGAACGGGCCCTGTCCTTCCTTATAAACCTGCTAGCTGGTATACGAAAGGCCGGCACAATGTGCAATCACTATCTCACTCTGCTTACGGCGATACGACTGCAGCCTGTGGACCCGGACAGGGCTGGCGTGGGAGACGACGTGCCACCTACGGGGGAAGACGGCAAATTCGTTTTCGATGATTATTATGATATTATCTATGATGGTATGACGTCGAAGTTGGACACTGGGGAGCTGGTCCGAGGCCTTCGCAGGATGTTCCTGCAGTTCCCTAGTGCGATAGGATGGACACCGCCATGCTTCCCTAATAAAAGCCATGCATCACGTAAACTGAGTTGACTGTATAGTGGAGATATCTCCGGTTGATGATCAGGACAAGTGTGGCCCGACAATGACTCGTGTTTGTCACCACACAAGCGCTCTAGCAGTATGATGACAGTTGATCTCAACGGCAATGGTGAGGGTGACTGCGGCGGCCGCAGGAAACTGGTGTTGTGATCAGCGTCTAGATGTGGACTGCGCTTTGATACAGAGTTGAAGAACTGGGAGAGGGCTGACTACCCCCGAACGGGTTGGGTGCCTGCAAGATGCCGAGATTCTAACGTATTGGAGTGTATCTCGTTGAGCGCTGACCAGTTTGATCAAAATCACTTGGATAGGAAGCTGTACACGACTGGACAGGAAGTAAGACTATACGCTTTGCCGTAATCGAGATGAGATTTGTGCTGTTCTTTTAGGTGGTGGTGATAGCCGCGACCGATGGGGTATTCCGGGCTACATGTGAGCCTAAGGAGGACTATGTTGAGTGCATCAAACGGAAGTGTCTACAGGGTGTATTCAGTGCGAAGGTTATCTGCTTACGACCACCTCCTATGAACCAGGTGAACTTGGTGTAAAACTCCACTTCGTTAGTGCCCATCTTATTGCTCTGTTATCATTACCCTTGGGATTAATGCCCTCATGATGTTCATCTCAGGCGCCTATCATTCTCATCTCGAAGGATCAGTCTACTTGCAGACGACCGAAGTCGCGGAATCCCGACATGCAACGTTTGGGCGATCAGTCGGACCTTCCTCGTTATTTCCTCAGAGTAGTTTTCTCTATGTCAGAGGCTCGTGGCTCCACTCCCACTTTGACGTCTATGATGCCTCCTGGCTGAACATAGTTTACTATCCGTCCGAGGGAAAGTGTTGCAGCTCTAGAATGCGTTTCCGCGGTATGACATCAGTGATGTCACACCACTCATCAAGAGGATTCAGTTTTCATACAGGTTTCTTGCACTCATCATTGACCCCGCTTTTGTATAACTGTCGCGAACAGCAGATCAAGATGAATGTGATGCCCTACACTAAGCTGTGGACCCAGGTT